AGAACCAGTAGGATACATCATGTACAGGTACAAATTCTGTATGATGAATGTGATCATTATGTATATCTCAAATGTATCAATAAATGTTTCGCTTCAAAAAAGAGAGAAAGTAGATAATGCCAACAAAAAAAAAAAAAAAGAAAGAAAGCACAATGGATAGGACAAGTTATATTCACTGGACCTCGGGTGGACAAAGCCATCTAAAAGGTTGTTCCGTGTGCACCTGGGAGGGGCAGGGAATGAGAAGCGTCAGTCACAGGAGCCTCATGGAGCAGGAGTGGCAGACCCTCCAGCTAGGTGTGGGTCTGAAGAGAAGACCAGTGGCACCCAGGAAAGGTGCCTCAGGCAGGAAGGAAAACGTTGATGGGTGACAGAACCAGGATGTGGCTAAAATGAAACGGGACAGAAATAGACAATGATGAGTGGGTCCATAGACAATGATGAGTGGGTCCATAGACAATGATGAGTGGGTCCGGACCCACTGGAATGAAAGGAAGCCAGGTCCTGGGAGAGGGGTGGGCGCTCACCACGCTCCCTCTGGCCCACCAGCGACAGCCATCGGCGACCGACAGGGACAGGAAGGCAGGACAGCCTGCCTGGGACACCTGCTCACGGAAGAGACCACAGGTGCTCCCCTGGTGAGGCACAAGCATGGGAGGACACAACAGCGTGAGGGGTCCCAGGGAAAAGGACAAATGGCCCAGAACACCAGGAAGCGGCCGCAGTCCCACGAGAGGAGCTGAAAAACAACACCTGCAGCCACAACTCTATTTCCTACCATTTAAGCCAAAGCTACTGACCAGAAGTTGACAGAGATATAAAAGATACAAAGTCCTAGACCTTGCTCACAGGCTTAGAAAAATGAGTTTCAAAATATATTCCTATCCAAACGTAATCTATACTTGTCACTGACTTTATCCCCAAAATAAATAAAAAATTGGGGACCATGCGGGAGCACTTTCTCTACTACTGCACTTGAAGATGCCCCTCCTCCCACCATCCCTCCCTTCTCCTCCACCCAGTTAGCCCAAGACATGGGCACCGCCACGTCCCATTCATTCTTTCATGTTCAGTGCCAGCCTAGTTGTCCTCTCTGCTGTCAGGCACTTTTTTTTTGGATCGGGAATCGAACTCGGGACCTTGTGCTTTCAAGGCAGGTGGCGGAACCACTGAGCTAAATCCCCAGCCCTCTGCTTTCTTCTCACTAATTATTTAGCTCTTTTTTAAAAACCTCAATATTAAATCCTGAAGCATGATCCTTTACATGTAGCCTTGCCAACTTTTCACTACAACCCACAGCGAGAAATGCATTTTACTTCTGGGCCGGTGTACACCCCACCACACACACACACACACACACACACACACACACACACACACCCCATACCTGTAAAACCTGTAGAGCAGTTCCTTAAAGCTCTTATCCAGGCACAGGGCCACACACTGTAACCCTAGCCACAGGGGAGGCTGAGTCAGGAGGATCACAAGTTTGAGGGTATCGTGGGCAACTTAACAAGACCCTGTCTCAAAACATAAGCCAGGTGTGGTGGTGCACACCTAGAATGCCAGCACTCTGGGAGGCGATGGCGGGAGGATCACAAGTTCAGGCCCAGCCTGGGCAACTTAGTGATTGAGCACGACGACCCTGACTCAAAATGAAATAAAATGAAGTGAAATGGAACAGAGAATAAAAAGGGGGTGGGGGTGTAGCTCAGTGCAAAGGCCCTGGGTTCAATCTCCAGTACAGCATAAAATTTAACTTAAAAGATAATTCCTCAGACACAGGACTATTATCTAGAATATATAAAGAACTCAAAAAAATTAGACTTCCCCAAAATAAAGACCCAGTCAAAAAATGGGCAAGTGGATGAACAGACACTTCTCAGAAGAAGCACAGTCAATAAATAGATTTTTTAAATGCTCAACACTGCTGGTCATTAGAAAAATACAAATTAAAACAACACTGAGATTTCATCTTACTCCAGAAAGAATGACCATCATCAGAAAATCAATAACAAATGCTGGCAAGGCTGTGGGGATAAAGGAATCCTTCTACATCGTTGGTGGGAGTACAACCACTACGGAAATCAGTAATGAAGATTCCTCAAAAAAACTAAAACTAGAAATTCCATTTGGCCTCACTATCACCTTCTAGGTATCTTCCTGAAAAAACTAAAGACATCATATTACAACGATACAGGTATACCCATGTTTATAACAGCACAACTCATAATAGCCTAAGTCTTGGAAGCCGAGCATATGTCTATCAACAGATGAATGAAGAAAATGTATTTACATTGGAACAGGGATGTAGCTCAGTGGCCCCACACCTGCCTGGCAAGCCCAAGGTCCTGAGTTTGATCCCAGGTACAGGAGGGAAAAAAATTTAGAAAATGTAGTTACACATAGCACAGTACTACTCTGCCATAAAGAAGGATAAACTTGAGTCATTTGTAGGAAAACAGATGCACCATGAGACCATAATGTTAAGTGAAATAAATCAGGCACACAAGCTTAAAATCACACAGTTTCTCCTATGTGTGAAACCCAAATTATAAATAAAGAGCAAAATAAGTCAGACAATAGGAAGAAGGGAGATGGATCTTTCTCAAATGGGAAGAGGGTAAAGAGATGGGGAGAGGGGAAAAAGAGAGGAGGAAGAGGGGATGAAAAAGGAATTGTGATGTGCTATGTACACACACCAACTCCCCACAAGGACCGTGAACATGAGGTGCTGCGAATACGGACTAATAAAAAAGGTAAAAATGGGCTGGGGACGTAGCTCAGTGGTAATTTCCCTGCGTTTAATGTCCACTACAGCAAACCAATGAAACATTCTTATCTTATTACATACAGTAAAATAACCTCATCCATTCATCCCCAGCCTGCGTCTTCTTTTTTAACGCAGGTGACCTGGGTTATAATCAGACATGCTGTAGATAAGGCGACCTGACTCATCTCACTGTGTTGCAACGCAAACAAGCAAGAGTTCAGCACTCAGGCTGCCTGCTCTCTCACCTGTGGACTGTACCCCTCGGCCTCAGCTTCCTCGTCATGGGGGATAAAAGAAAAGCACCTCACAGCTGAGGGTTAAACAAAACCACTTGCATAAAGCACCTGGCCCCTACCACGTCCAGTGCAGAGCTGTTCATAATCTCCAATGGTCCATGTATTTTATTGTGGTAAAATATAAAGTTCTTCATCTTAGCTACTGAAAGAATGCAATTCATTGATACTCACAGTACTGGGCAATTTCATCACCCTGAAAGGAAACCTCATATCCACTCAGCAGTCCGACCCCAGCTCCCCTCTTTCCTTGCTGACACACACTGATCTGCTTTCTGTCTCTAGGGTCATGGACTCTAAAATAATATTAACACTCACCCAGAACAGTTTTCTAGCAAGGAAGGAAGTTTAGTCCTCATGGCTGAATCTCAACTCAATGCTTTTTCTCCAGCAAACCTGTGACCACTTAAGGTGATTCTGTAACCAGGCTGAGGCAGAAATCTCCTCTCCCCCAGGGTAACTGCTAGGTTAGAGCGCACTCTCGGAGGAGGGGAGACCAACTTGGGCGCCCACAAGAGGCAGAATGGGCAAACCCAATAAGGTCCCTCTCCATTATGTCTGGGGACACCATTAAACCAGCCAACTCGCCTACAAAGTGAATGCAGAAAACCGAGTGATTGCTGGACATGGTGGCGCTCGCCTGTGATCCCAGCACTCCGGAGGCTAAGGCAGGAGGATCGCCAGGAGTTCAAGGCCAGCCTGAACTGCATTGGGAGACTGTCTCAAAACAGGCAAAACAGAGTGATTATTTTCTAGCTTTGCATTTTGAAACTGCTTGAGACTCTAAACTTTCGCCATTAAGAAGTTAAAAAAAAAAAAAGTCTGAACTCCACTTTTTGGCTTCTGGAGTGATCTTTCCTCTTGGGGTCCCACCCCTCTCGCACTTAGATTTCCCACCCTTCCTTCAGGGTGTGGAACCGGGCAGGAGTTACTGTTCCTCCCAGCAAGAGTTCCCTGAGTTGCTCCACTGCTCTCCGGGAAATGACCAGGCGCTTTGCCTGGAAGCTGCACTGTTTTCCTAGCACACAAGGCAAAATGCTTCTTCAGTCAAAGAAATAAATGGCACCAAGACGCCCAGAAGGTGTGGGCTCAGAGGCAAAGACTTCGATCCCAGCAGAAGCCAGGTTTTTTTTTTTTAAATAAAGAGCAGGGCTGGAGATGCTGGTCAGAGGTCCAGAGCTGGGCCCTGGGTGTGATCTCCAATACAAGAAATAAAAAAGCCCGGCCTGATCACCGGACAAACGGCAGCCAAGTCTCTCGGTCCTTCCACCTCCTCACCTGGCCTCCGAGCCCTACACGCCGCCCTCGGGCTGCCTGGGGACGAGGGGGAGCATGGCTCGCATGGCTCCCTCCGGGCCAGGCGAGCGCCCTCCACTGGCGCAGCAGCCTGGGGCCGTTGTTTTTTTTTTTTTTTTTTTTTTGAGCGCGGAGGAGGAGGAGGAGGAGGAGGAGGAAGCCTCCTGGTAGCAACGGATCCCGGACCCCGCACACCTCAAGCTCTAGGGAAGCCGCACCAGAACTGTGCCGAGTTCTGGCGAAGTCCTGAGCTGGGGGTAAAGTCGAGGTGGATAACGGAGAACTGCACCTCTGCAGGCCCCAGTCCCTGGCAGGTGAGCCAGGTGCGGCTGTGCGAGCCCCGGGTGCTGGATGCGAGTGGGTCGGGGCTTCGCTCCCAGATCTCCCGAAGGCGGGGTCCCGCAGATGGGGTGCTCGGGGTCCGCGGTCTGGCCCCGGGTGCAGAGGACAGCGGGCCAAGTGCAGAGGTCGCCGCCTGACCCCAGCTCCAGCTCCAGCTCTGCGCTGCGGGCCGGCGCCAGGGCGGGCTAGGGAAGGTAACAGCAGCGCCGGCCACCTCCGCCCAGAGCGGGGCAACTCCGGAAACTCCTGGCGCCGGCGCCCGCCCGCCTCCCGCGCCCCCGCGCCCCGGCGCCGACCTGCGATGGTCTCCTGGTAGCCCTTGGTGAAGAACTGCATGGCCGTGGCCGCGCGCCAGGGCGTCTTGAGCAGCCCCTGGCGCTGCGGGTCCTCGCCCAGCGAGCGCAGGATGGACGCGTAGGCGGCGGCCAGCGCGGGCAGGCTCAGCGCCTCGTCCTCCAGGCTGCGCGGCCGCTCGCTCCTCCAGCCGCCGGTGGCCGGCGCGCCCCGCGCCTCGGGGAACCCGTTGCTGCACCGCGCGCCCTGCGCCTTCTCGGCCGGGGCCGGACCCGGGCCCTTCTCCATGGACCCGCGGTTCCGCGCGGGAGAGACCCAGGGGCGCCTCGGGGCCACGGGCAGCGACCTGTGGCCGGAGTCAACGGAGAAGGCAGCGGCGGGAAGACGACGCGCTCGGACCCCGGGAAGCTACAGGCTGCCTGGCGCGCCAGCGCCGCTCTTTTATAGCTCGCAGGCTCGGCGGCGGCGGCGGCGGGCGCTCCCATTGGCCGCAGCCGCTTGCCGTCACGCGCTGGCCCCGCCCTGCGAGCGGGCTCAGGAGCCCATCGCCGAGCGCGACTCGAGTCTGAAAGCCGCGGGCGTCGGGGACGGGCACCGCCAGGGCACCGGGTGCGCTCATCCGAACGGCTCTGGTCTCGCCCTGGCAAGATGAGCCAACAAGTGACCTTGCCGGGAAAGAGACCGAGATGCACCCGAGAGGGGAGAGTGCAGCCTTGTGCTTTCTGGTGAAGGCAAGAGGACTGTCTCTTGAAACTTCTTCGATGGCTAACCTCTGTCCGAAGTGAGTCCCTGGCACCTCCAAGAGCCCCCTCCTAGGGGTCCCCGGGGCTGGGTCTGTGCGGCCGGATCGCCTCCCCGCTCCGCGTTTAACTTCTGACCCCCGGGTCTTGCTCGACACCCGGTGAAGTTTCCCTTCCATGCCAAGAGTCCGTGACCGGCCACGAGAGGGGCTGGGCAGCTGGGCCTCGGCCCTGCGTCATCTGCAGGAGCTGCTGACTCCCTGCCGCAGAACCAGGCAGGGGACAGTTGGAGGAAATAAACGACCCTAGCTCTGGATTAGTGACAGCAGCCGGAGGGAATCATCTTTGTTCTTGAGATCTGCAGAAAGTAGCCACAAAATCTGTCACTTGGCCACAAACCTCCAACTGGCCACTCACCAGCACCCATCTCCTTTACAAACGCCCAGATCAGAGTCCCAGGAAGGGGACACTTCGGGACAACGGTCGCTGTCACCTTTTATCGGCTGGTAGTTCATGGTAATAAAGTTCTCTCTCTACCACCACGGTGGCTGGGCAGTGCTTGTCTTCCCCCATTTTGTGCCCTAGCATTTGTGGCCAGGACTTTGACCCAGGAGAAATTGATTTCCAAGCAAAACAAAACAAAAAAGACTTTCATTTAAACCCATTTGTGTTTGGGGGGAGGTTTAATTGTGGAAATTTGGGGTTTGATTGATTTACAGTGACGTGCAAAGCTCTTTTCCCCAGATGTTGGTACAAACTGTGAAATGCTATGATCACCTGACGCTTAACCAATGACATCCGCTGTGATTGTTTTCTTTTGAGATTAAAGACTTGGACCTTTTTGCTCACTTGAGGGATAACGTCATAAACCAAAGATGAGCTTTAAAATGTCCATCAAATTAAGATCTTTCTTGTTTCAGAGAATTTATTTATTGATACCAGGGATCAAACTCGGGACCTTGCGCTTTCAAGGCAGGTGACAGAACCACTGAGCTAAATCCCCAGCTCAGAGAATTTCTAGTGCTGATTTTTCTGCCTAATAAACTATTTGTAGGTTTGGGATCAGACAAGACAGGAGAGAAGCCCCTGGAATTATTCTCTATTAATAAAGTAGCTCTCATTGTAATTTGTAATTAGTATGTATTGTATGTCTGCTCCAGGCATAGCCCTGCTCTACACAAAGAAATAAGAACACTGCCTCAGAGTCACCTTCAGTCTAACATGAAAAATTTAATGGGGTGTGGTGGCGCACACCTATAATCCAGCACTCAGGAGGCTGAGGCAGGAGGATTGTCATGAGTTAGAGGCCAGCCTAGGCTACATAGTGAGTTCAAGGCCAGCCTGAACTACACAGCAAGACCCTTTCTCTACAGAAAAAAAAAGAAAAATTTTAAATAGAAGAAATGTAGAGCATTTGCCTAGCATGTGCTATCCCCTGGCTTTGATTCCCAGCACAATAACTACATAAATAAAATTAAATAGAAGAAATGTTTGTGTTAAGAGTTTTAAAAGAAACTTATTGAATTCTCGTATACATTAGATACCAAATTTCATAAACCAAGAAATAGGAACATCCCTCAGAAAGCCTCTCTGACATTTTCTGGATATTTATTGTAAGGTTTTCCCAATGCCAAGATCCTGCAATATTTTTTTCCCACTGATCGCTCTGCCTACTGTCCACCGATAGCTCCTGGTCAGAGTTAGCTTCGGGGTCTCAAGCTGTTCCAGACATAGCTGGAGACAACGTGCAAAGCTGGCTTTGCATCTCACAGATGAGAACACAGACAGAAAGGGAGATGCTTCCCACATGGAGGAGTTAGACGGAGATGCTTTCCACAGAACATCCTCTGGTGCCGCCAATCTACTGCCTTTCTTTAAAACACTTGTAAACCGTAACAAATATCATATTCCCCAAAGACAATTTCCAGTGAAGTTTTACCCTAAAAATTAACATTTTCTTTGAATACCGCTACTGAGGCAGCAACACATGTCACCCATTCCCAGTGCGGGGTCTCTGGATTTGTGCTGTATCATTTTCTTGTTTGTAAATGGAGGTAGGAAACCAAGGAAAACCTGAATAAACTCTCTAGCTTCTCTTGCTTGTAGTCACTTGATTTCTCACCAGTTTTAGAGGCCCTGTAGCTAAGTAAGCCCCTGCCGCCTTGGGCTCTGCCATAGATAACACCCCGAAAGCTGGGTCACAATGGTAACCGCTGCCTGCGTTGTTTTTCGGGATTCGGAGGTAGCTGAGTGGCTGAAACACACCCTTCACTTGAGCCTGCACAATGGTCTGACCGGTGACCTTCTGATGTTAGCGAAGAGTCTACCCTTGCAGCACGAAGGCTTCCATGTTCTGACCATGGAATTTCCTTACCTCTCATAACCTTTCCCTAGGCCTCAGACCACCCTTCCCTCCTTCCTTCCTGGCTTCCTGTCTTCCTTCCTTCCTCTCTTCTTCCCTCCCTCTTTCCTTCGAACTTTCTTTTTCTTTGGACCTTGTTTCTTTTTTTTTTTTTTTTGGTACCGGGGATCGAACTCAGGTCCTTGCACTTTCGAGGAAGGCAGCGGAACCAATGAGCTAAATCCCCAGCCCATGCACCTTGTTTCTTTATCTCATAAACTTTATCCTCAGAGAGGCAGATTTGAGATTTGGGGCTTCCACCTCCCACATCTGGCATGTACAGAATAAACCCTTCTCCAAAACTTGGCAGCTTCATGCTTGTATGGTGGGTGAGCTGGGCCTCACTTGGCAACAGCAATGCCTTTCAGCCACCTGTCCAAAGGCAATGCTATCACAGTTCACAAAGTTTAATAGCAAAATGTAGCCAGCTGGCAGGGTTGGTTGTAAGTGGCAAAAGGAGAAAGAGGAGGCACAAACTAATAAAAGAAAAGGACAAAAAGAGAATTTATTAACACAAAATAGTTCAATAGTAGAACTGAACATTTGTATCCAGAAATTGTAGCAATATCCATGTTTCTAACTCAGTAGGAGTTAGAAAAACCACTGCACCCCGCCTCCGAGTTTCTTTCTATCAAAAAGCCAAGGGGCCAGGGATTTAGCTCAGTGGTTTCACCACCTGCCTCGCAAATGCAATGTCCCGAGCTCAATCCCCGGTACCAAAAAAAAAAAAAAAGCCAAGAATTAATTCTTTTATCTCTCTCACTTGTAGGGCAGTGACAAAACAGAATCAGGTAAGAGTCAGTGTCGATACTGATCACTGCAGGGCTGTAGAAAGGTACAGTCACAGCTGGGGATGGTGGTGCATGTCTGTAATCCCAGCACTGGGAAGGCTGAGGCAGGAGGATTACCTCGAGTTTGGGGTCATCCTGGGCTACACAGTGAATTCAAGTTCAGCCTGAACTACATAGTGAGACCCTGTCTCAAGAAAGAAAAAAGAAAAAAAGAAAGAAAGAAAGAGTCCCTGTCAAAGGGAACAGATAAATTAATAGTAGGCATTTGATGTTAATTGGAAACAAATTTAAACGAACTAGATGAAGGTTCTGTGTCTGAAACTCAGACTGCGGAGGAGACTCTGGATGAAGGTGGGACACACCCAAGAAGCTGTCGTTACCCTACGCCCAGCTCCCAAAAGCAGGACAGCGGGGTCTGTAAAATCCTAAAACGACTCAAGAATCCACCAACAGCAGGCTTGTCAACCGGCAGTCCACAGGGGAGACACATGGAGCACTCTGGTGCCATCTCAGGAGAATGAACAGATGCCGCTAAACCAGGTGCCATTGTGCACGCTTGAGACTCTGGCACTGTGGGAGGCTGAGGCAGGAGGATCAGCAAATTCAAGCCCTGCTCGGGCAACTTAGCCAGATCCTCTCTCAAAATAATAATAATAATGTTTTTAAAGGATGAGGATGAAGTTCAGTGTGAAGGCCTTGGGTCTAATCCCCAGTACCACAAAAAGGAAAGAAAGAAAGAAGGGTACTAATGGAGATTCGACAGCTGGGCTCTGTCCCAGAGCACAATCCCTCAAGGAAGGAAGGGCGGGACACATACTCCCTAGGGTTCCGATCTAGAATGTTTCCCAGAAGTCTCCAGTGCTCAGCCTCGGGGCTTGGGGAGGTGGCTGGATTATGAGGCCCTGTGCTCATGAGTGGATTGGCCCATGGACAAGCTGGCAGCTGAAAGCTGGAGGTGGGCCTGGCCTGGCTAACGGGAAGAGGTGAGTCCCCAGGGGCAGCCCCGGGAGAGTGCCTCTCCCTTCCTGGCTCCTCCTGCACCCGCTGCTTCCTCCATGCCTGGAGAGGGCAGCTTTCCTGCCCTTCCTGTGATGTTTCTCCCACGGGCAGAATCTCCTGAAGTGAGAACAAACGACACCTCTCTGAGGGACATGAAAGTGACGACACACTCCTCAAGCCTCAAAGTGTAGCAGTTGGAAAACCGTCAGGCTGCCTCGATAATGGGAGTTGCTCTCAATCGAACCAGAGAAATGGGGCATTGGGAAAACAGCCCGGCTCCCTTGCGAACATGTAGCAGCAGAAGAAAGCTAAACTAGACTAGGGCAGAGTCAGTACCCCATCTGATGCCTGGAACCAGAAGTGTTTCAGATTTCAGAGGGGTGTTTGAGGGGGTGGAACATCTGCATAGCTTTATCAGTTAAGCATCTTTAATTCAAAAATCTGAACTCTGAAGTCCCAAATAGGTACTCAAAAAAGTTTCAGATTTTGAAACT